GTAGGGAATCTGCTGTGAATATTCAGTCCCCAAGTAATCTTTCTCTTGAATGAAGCTGATCTTAACTAGGGTGAGTGGTTTTTACTGTTGGTCCATCTGCTTATTTCAAAGTTTTCAGTTCTGGTAATATTTACATTATGTTAGCCAAATTATTGCCTGATGTACTTCTCTTATTTTTTTGCTCCACTCTATTTATTTATGTATTAGCACAGTATGTTTCACTGGTGTAATTCCTTTCAGGACATAACAGGATATTGCCCTCATGAAAGCCAGTCAATTGTGGGACATACAAAGTACTACTTCTGCTTTGTAAAATATCACAGAAAAACGCCTGTTTCATACAACTATGCCGTTGAGACTTCCAGTGAGGACAGAGTCATGTTTTGCTTGCCATTGTATAAATACATGATGCTAAAGCCCTGGCTCCCTTGCAAACCTGGAATTCAGCATCTGCTGAATTACTCTGATCTGCGAGCCTGCTGCGTTTTGCTCACAAGATGTCACAGCAAGCAGGCTGCTGCAGGGCACTACGGGGCGGAGAGCAGCAGGTACTGCATCCATAGCTGCTTGAGTTGCTGCAAGAGTGCAAAATTCTGCACATCCTACAAAGGTAATATTTCCATAGGGAGTTTCCCTGAATAATTATGTCAGGGTTGAGCCCCAAAGTAACATGTTCTGTTTAATCAAACAACTTTTTCTGACTTTTTGAGGTATGTACAATACACTTCCATTGTGTCATTACTGCGGTAGGGTGTTACAACTCTTACTAACCTGGGTCTGAAAGTATCAGGACTTAAAACTGCTGTTGTATTCCATAGCAATGGTGAGCTTCCACTGCAGTGATATGTTTAGAGGCTGAAGTGGAACCTCTTAATGCTTTTGTTTTATTAAAGTAAACCAGCATCATCTTACGCTTATTCGTCCAGTTGTGCAGTAGAGTAAGAAATACAGACTGAGGTGATATACCTCACCCTTGTAGATGTTTCACCCTCAGTGTAATAACATTTACACAATGTGGAATAAGCTAACTTAAATTTGTATGCATTTTGAGTAGCATCTATAATAAAAATGTCAGGGCTGGGAATTCAAGGTCTTAAAAGGAGACAGGTGTGATTAATACTTGCTATGGTTTCTTTTTTTGTCTCTTGTAGCAGAGTTTTGCTGTGGATTCTTCGTGATCTTGATCCTGGGAAACTTCTGGTTCCTCGCTGTTCTGTACCTGCTATGGCTCTACCTGGACTGGGAAACGCCATGCACAGGGGGCAGGCGGTCCCAGTGGGTCAGAAGCTGGACTGTTTGGAAGTACTTTAGGGAATACTTTCCCATTCATGTGAGTAAAAGGTTTCTTACAGAACTGTAAACAATGGAACAGAGACAGCTTGAATAGCCATGAGCGTGGACAAACATCTAAGACTCCTCTTTGGTAAAATTCTAATACTTACTCCAGGGTGAACTTAACATCTTTTTAAAACATGGGAAGCCTGAGATTTAGTGACAAAAAGGGGCAGGGGCTGATTTTCTGCTTGGACTGTTGGGTCACAAGATAGTGCCTCAGCACAGTAAATGCTAGACATGACATCTTGAGACACATTTATTTAAACTTTGTTCAGCTGTAAAACAGGACAGTAAAGTGCTCAGAAGGAAATGAATTGTCATCGGTTCTGTGTCCTGTCAATGTGCAATCTCCATACTTCTTGTTTTTGAGAATCCTGAGCTAAGTATTATAATGTCCTCACTGCCTCTATTTTTCAGCTTATAAAAACTTCAGATCTGAATCCAAATCACAACTACTTACTTGGCTTTCATCCTCATGGGGTCCTGGTAGCTGGAGCCTTCGGAAACTTTTGCACCGGTTCAAATTTCAAAAATTTATTTCCTGGGCTTACTCCATATCTTCATATCATGCCCATCTGGTTTGGCTGTCCCTTCTTCAGAGAATACATAATGAGTGCTGGTAAGTAAAAGCAGAATGTCTCAGCTGTTGCTCCATATTATAGCTTCTGCTTCAAATGTAGGGTCCATTCCTGTACCTATAAATGGTAAGTAATTTCACTTCAGAAGGATCAGCGTTGGTGCTAAATTAAACCTCTGCTTTATGATAAACTGTTGTTGCAAAACAATTTGAAAGGTTTCATTAATAGTTTTGTTAAACTATATCACTGAGCTTTTTTGCTTTCTGAAAAAAGTTGCTGTTTTTCCCTTGAGCTGTGAGACAGCACTACTGTATCAGTTATTTGCAAGAGGGGCATATTAATTTATAATGTTAATTAATTATTGCACAGACACTTTTAAAACAAATTGAGGATCATCTCTTACCTGAAGGGCTTAAAGTCCTACTCATTACAAGTATCTTTCTAGTCAGAAGTTAAGTACCTGCTTCTGACTGAGGTCTCATATTGCAAATTTGTATAATTTTAATGGAGATGTAAACCCTAAAGACAGGAGCCTTTTTTCTCTGTTCTGAGGAGCACTTGTTATAAACGGTTGATATTCATGACTGGTACTACAGTAATAAAAGATAAAAATAACAAGCAATAAAGTTTGGGGAACAGAAGAATGTATAATGAAATCAGGACTAGTGTTTCCCCACAGTGGTTTAATACAGGAGTTATTTTTCTTAAACGTGTTAAACTAGACCATTTGGGTAAGTACGGTCTGGTGCACAAGACTAGGTTTAGGAGACAGAAATCTAGGTCGTATTCCTGCCTGCAACACAGACGCTGTGATCTTGGATAAGCTGTGCAACTGCTCCATTTGTAGAAATGTGCCTAGGGTGTTGTTCAGATTAATATCAGAATTGCATATCCATGTATACTTCAGCACACCCCGGAATGCCCTTCCATGCAAATGTAATTTCTGAGGAGATTCTTTCAGGCTTGCAAAGTTAAGGGATTGACAGTGGTGGAAGATGACAATTTTAAACATTGCCTAGCTTGGCAGTCAGCTTTACACGTTTTTGGCATCTTGACCCATAGGAACAAATATTTACCTGCTAGATGAGAAATAACTGGAGTAAAAAGCATGCTAAAGAATAGTCAGCATGGTAGCTCGTTTTTCACAGGTAGGTAGCTGATAAACCAGAGGGGACCTTTGATATAATACAGGTTATCAGTCAAATCATAAAACACTTGCAAAATCTTCTGTGTACTGGAAGCCATGCTCCTAGCACGCTGTTTCATCTCCCAGTCTTTTGCTCCCTGTCTCTGAAGCCTGCCAGGCTGCAGCTGTTGTCGTGGGGAGGAGCAGTTTCTGCTCTTACCAAGCCGCTGAGCGAGCGAGCGGGGAGCAGTGCCCTGCACGCAGGCTGACTTCTCTGCTTCAGCAGGGAGATAAACTTCTCCTGGGGAAAGACTGTAGCTCTTGCTTTCTCTTCCAGAGAAAATGCATGCAGACTGATGAACAAGCATCACTCAAATTATTTGTGAGTCTCAGGTCAGCTGCATTTTTCAGAGCAACAATGACTGTGAAGACATATAAGGCAAATGGAAGTAGCTTTTTAATGAGGTCTGAGCTTGCTCCCGTAGCAAGCTATTCCTTTTGGCGGCCAGCTCTCAAAACTAGATTACAATCATCTTCCCTTTTTTGTGAGATTTTCATAGTCCACACTGTAATGTCCCTAATAGGAAGAAAAGCAAGTGGGTAACAGGAAATGAAGTCTTGCTTAGCATCCAAAAGAGCATGCCTTGATACTAGCCCTGTAAAAACCAAGAACAATGCAAACTAGACTTGATCTCTAGATTGTCATTTAGACTATATTAATGCAACACAATGTAATTAAATGTGGCTTCTGGGTAAATGGTACCGCTACAAGCTTTTGAAGTAAAACTTATGGCACAAAGGAAGTGCCATAGGAAAGTGGCCAAAGGAAGTCTGGAGGGGTTAGATTGAAAAATCCCCTTTCTAACATTTCTAAGCGTCAAGTTCAGAGCAAGGTCTAAGTTGATGTTAAAGGCTCATACAGCAGTGTGTCTCTGATTAGAAG